GGTGGGGGGGGGGGGGTGCTCAGTCTATGCCTTGGTCTGGAGCAGAGATGATGTCTGGACTAGACTTACGTCAAACAATGCATGAATGCAGCGCAGTTGCAATAGTTCCTAGGACTCGATTTCTATGCGACTGACTCATTTAGTCATATAGATACCGACGGGGGGCGAGTTGATGATCAGCTTCTCCGACTGGTGACCTGTTTTGACCTGGGGGAAGGAGGGGGGGGGGGTGAATTCAAGATCCCCCATGTTAGGCGCTTCGCTGAGGCGGAACTTGTGTTTGATTTTCATGTGGAGACCATTATTATCGATTATCTCGGCCATTCTGCTGCAACGTTACATCCTTCTCAGCCCGGGTTGACTCTGATTGGAAGGGTCGAAGCCTGCCTCCTGAATGATCTAAATTGTGTCGATGTGGACGTAAAAACGCTTACATTGAAAATAAAATTCTCGCTTAACGTAAATAAATAGCTATTTGAGATGTAGGAGTTCTGTTTTCTGTTGATATCGATGTTCTACCAATTAAACAGCCGAATTTAGATTGAAAGTAGTGTAAAACTCCTAACTCCACCTCCATATTCCCCAGGACACCACCCGTGACATACAAGACTCTCTGTTCAACCCCCGCACGATCAACGGCTACAACTATCTCTACTACTTAGCTCTGAGCACTCTGGAAGAAGACAGCTTCTGTGACTTTGAGATCCAGTACGAAATTCTCCATAACGAGATCCACGGTCTTATTGGTGGACATGGCACCTACTCAATGTCTACGCTGGATTACTCCGCGTTTGATCCTCTATTTATGATCCACCATTCCAGCATCGACAGAATCTGGGCAATCTGGCAGGTAAGGATGATTATAATAATAATTATTATTAGGTATTTACTGTGGTTTCTAATTCTAAGCCAACGTTTAAGGCTGGGAATGGAATATACAACAATAAAAACAAAAAACAAAACAAACCCACACCACCACCAGCACCACCACGATCAACAACAACAATAACAGCTACAAGAACGACAGCAACAAATAGAACGTTATTCCAATTGACATAAGAGTAATTGTGAACTCTCAGCACACATTGATAATTATTGTCAATATTTCTGTTGTTGTCGTTGTTCCACGAAATATAAAAAGTCTTCTATCCATTCCCTCCCAGCAACTGCAAAAACTCCGGCGCAAACCTTTCAACTCTGCCCGCTGTGGTGGCGCCATCATGGAGGAACCTCTCCAACCCTTCAGCTATTCTCAGATCAACACCAATGACTTCACCAGGATGAACTCTCAACCCAGCAAAGTGTTTGACTATGCTCATCTCGGATATGAGGTAAGGAGTGAGGTGGGGGTGAATTATACAGGGTGAGAAGGAGTAGCAGGAGGAGAATGAGTTTACGAAGGAAGATGAGCAGGAGGAGGAGATGGAAGAGGAACACAGGAGAGAGAGAGAGAGAGAGAGAGAGAGAGAGATAGATAGATAGATAGATAGAGAGAGAGAGAGAGAGAGAGAGAGAGAGGGGGGATCAAAAAGGAAGAAGTTGAGAATGGGGTCCAAATAAGCGGCACTAAAGTAGTAAGGGAAGAGGGGTGAGTGGAGAGGGAAGGTATTGGTGGGGCGGAATGAGTGGACGAAAAGTGAAGAAAGACACGAAGATAGAAATGTTTTCCCTGTGTATATGTGTGTTTTTGTGTGGGACTGGTAGTCTAGTGGTTAGGCTACCCGACTCGTGATTGTGAAGTTGCGTTTTCGAGGGTTCGAGGCTCCGTTTAGCTCGACCTTGTTTTCTTGGGAAAAGCACTTTACACGAATTTCCCCCCACTTCATTAGATAAAAAAAAGATCATGCCAGCATGCTAGTGTTTAACCCTTTTAGAATAGAATCATTTACTCCCCAGGCAGTTGAGATTTTTTCAAAATGCTAGCACATCGGCTGAGGTAATAACAAAGGTTATACAACTCAGAGAGTTTGCTGTTAAGCAGGAACATTCGCTACACAAATTAATTATGTTTATTATTATTGTTACCACCATTGATCTCTGTATATGTGTCTGTGTGTGTGTGGGTGCATGTGTTTGCATATATATATATATATATATATATATATATATGTATATATATATATATATATATATATATATATATATATATATATATATATATATATATAACTGTGTGTGTGTGTATGTGTGTGTGTGTATGTGTGTGTGTGGGTGGGTGGGTGTGTGTGTATGTGTGTGTGTGTGTGTGTGTGTGTGCGCGTTAGTGTGTACAGGTGGGTGGTAAAAGTGACAACATGATGCATTTTTTTCTCCCCCAAACTGTGTTATTTTCCTGCTTCTAGTTCGACAACCTGGAGCTGAATGGCCATGATGTGAACGATTTGAATAACATCATCAATAGACTGAGAGATCAGGACAGAGTTTACTTGGCCTTCAACAACTGTGGAAAACAAGGCTCTTTTGCTTTTGATGTAAGTAACTGCTTGGTGACTACAAAAATTCCCTGCCGTAAAGAATATCCTAATCAAACCTGTGAAAATAATACAACACGCCTTTACACCCTCCTCCTTGATTCCAAACGTATTTACCGTGTCTGTCGTTTTGAATAGTATTTTGAAGGTGGCGCCTGTAACGGTTAACATTAGTTCTTTATCTACTATATTAGTCACTGTTACTTAAATCTTGCATTTGTTATCGGACATTTCAAACAATGGCGCCGTGAATTTTACTGTCCGTTTCACTTCTTTGTGGGTGAGTACAAAGTACAATTTTACTCAGAAACTGTTTACGACTCAGTAACCCAAAATGGAGTGAAATGAAAGCAAAATGATAATGGTATGATGTCCATTTCTCTGCAGGTCCACTTCGAGACTGCCGAGAATAATGTTGTACCACTTGGCCGCTTCTACGTTCTTGGTGGGGAGCGCGAAATGCCCTGGTGTTTTGAGAGAGTTTTCAAGTATGACGTCACTGAAGTACTTCAAGCCAACAATGTTGACATCCACAAGCCCGTCAAGGTGAGAGGACTAAATTACACGCGCTCTTATTCGAAAACGTTAGATAAAAAAAAACAGCAACAAAAACAAATCAAACAATTTATGTACCACAGAGTAATCGCGACCACTATAGCTTGATTCCCTGTGGTGACGATTCCTTTGCCCAAAAAATCAATAGTATAAATTCATAATTTTTTAAAAGAGTTCAAATAAGATTCTGGGAGAAATAGCTCTCTAGAAAATTTAATTGGGAAATAATTTGGAAACAATTACAACAACTACAACAACAAAAGTAATAATAACCACAACCAACACCACAACACGATTGTAGGGTTAGGGGTGGGGTTTAGGAGGATTTGAATTTCCGTTTAAGTTTAAGAAAATGCAAACTCGTGTGTTTTACTCTTCATTATATTCTTTCTTTGTAATTCTCTAAGCCGCTTTTGTCCGTCATCTATTTTTATTTTCAACTGCACTTAAAGCCACCAGTGTCTGTGGTGCAGAGGTTAAATTCTTCTCTGTTGCACACTGAAGACCCAAATTCGATTCCCGAGTGAGCAAAACTTTTTGTCGAAAATTTCGGTTTCTCTATTAAGATATTGTATCCCTCTCAGTCCGGGTTGGCCCTGATAGGCAGGATCGGAACCCCGCCTCCTAAATTATCTAAATCGTGTCGATGAGAACGTAGAAACACCTACATTTCATTTTCCTCCCAAATATTTGTCGCTGAATCGTCTTTTCTTGAAAATTTCTAAAGTTTAGAGAAATAATCAAAGTCACTTATTATTCTCCTATTTCTGAACAGATTGGAGGTCAGCTCTTCAGATACGATGGCGAGCACGTCCAGAACTTCACCACTTACTACGCCACGTTCATTGAACGTCCTGCCGGAGTGGATTACGATATCATAAACATTCCTGTCATGCGTAACAGTTCTATCAATCCTAAGGTAACATTCCAAGTTGGTGAAAAAAAAGTCTGAAATGGCGCGAGAGGTTGGGGGGCGCCACTTTTATATCATCATCACATCATCATCATCATTATCATTTCGCAAACACCTGAGTCATTTTCAAAAAGTTTGGAGAAAATCAAAGTAAAAGAGAACACCCGAATCAAAACCATGACTTGGGCATTTGTAAATTTTCAGTTAAAAACTATGAAGGAAACAACGAAACAGAACATCTCCAATCAACAGCAGACCAAAGGCAATGGTGTAGCACATTTGAACCATCATAATATACAAATCAGAAACACGAATTTGCACATTTCATGATGTGCATTTTGCTGCGTGCCCTTTGAAGTACAGAACTGAAGAATCTGTACAAAAAACAAAGTTGTAATTCTTTTTTTAAAAAGATGAAGTGACCGAAAACAGAGCGTATTCAAAAATTCACAATGGACAACGTGCCACTATAAGGAACACTATCTCGCTGATTTTTAAAAATTACATCAACAGTACAAAAGCAATGTTTGTATATTACACATAAGGATCTTCGACAGCATCTCATTTCCAGAATCTGAATCTTTCTCTCATTTTCTACTGTCAATCTCCATGATTAAGATAGAGTTTCGAAAACAAAACAGAAAAAGCCAAAGTCATCTCTCAACCCAGTACTACGAACTAGGTATTTCGAAATGTTACCCCTCCCCCCTCCCACACACTTCATTTTCTCTATTTTTTCAGACTGTTGTCAAGAAGGGAACTCGCGTTCGTTTCGTCACCGACGGTGTTGAAACACCCATGGAAAATCTGGGCAGTTTCACAAACTTCCACTTCTGCAACATTCCGCCTTTCTCCTACCACTCCTTCCCGTTCGGCGAGGTGCATGCCCTGAGCCCTGGCGACTACTTCTTCGTCAACAGAGACGTTGACTTGTGTAACTCTGGCAGGAAACTGCAGATCACAGTGGCCGACGAGTAACTCTTTCTAAAGTTGCTCTGGAGCAAGGTCAGCACTAGACCTAGAATAGTTATTCATTCACTGAGCCTGTAGCTGCCCTGAATGACTTCACAAAACTAGTCTTCATTGGTAAATAATGTTGAACTGTTACTCGCCAAATATCCATTGTGTAAAAAAAAAAAGTAACTAGAAACCGACCAAATCTGGCAACATCAAAGTGTCCCCCTCCCCCAATCATTTCAAGCATGTTTGACACAATGCACAGATCTGAGGTTACTCTGAGGTCACAGTAGGTTTGTTACTTGCATTTAACAGAAGAAGGCTGGCTTAGATCGTCGTTGTGCGCGAAGATATAAGGGGTTATGCTGCACTTTTACCCCAAATCTCTTTTCTCATAACTACCATCACCATCATTATCCAGTGCCAGTTCTGCGACAGACATCCACGATCATGGTTCTCCATTCATTCCTTTGCTCGGATGCTCTAAAAAGCCACGTTTCACTGATCTTTCCCCGTTACCCATTTGTTTAGGTTCTCCAAATATATTGTTCTAGGCCTTCCTCTGCCTCGCTTGCCCTCAATTTTGCCAGTGAGAGCTAGATGTTCAAGACCCTTATGTCTATTTATGGGTCCCAAAAACTGCATTTGTCGTTTCCTGATAAATACCATACAGAATGAAAAAGAATTAAACGTGTATCCTATGTATCCTGGATATACCTGCATCATTTTTAAGTCTTTGGCGGCATCTTACCTGTCCTCCTGTACCACCGACGTTTTAGGTTTATCTCTGTCAGTGCAATAGGCATAATTATAAACAGACAGACAGACAGAGACAGGCAGACCGATTGATTAGATAATTTATTGAATCTGTAGCTGCTGTATAGGCTAGTCTTCATATTATCATAAAAGATTAAACTGTTACTTTGGGAATTTCCATTTGGTATACATACATGATTATTATTTGCAAAGGAACGCATTGTCTGCACATGCTATTGTTGAATATCTAGTTTACCATTTAAAATATCAAATTCAAGTTATGTAATTGTGGAAACTAATTATAGTATGTGATATTTTCCTTTCAGCTTCACCTATGAGACATGACGTCAGACGTGGAGAAGCTATCAGATCATCTTATTCGTCGTGCAAATCCCCCAAAGCAAAGTTTGTGAAATCGAAAAATGGAAACGGGTAATACAAAGGAAAACAGGACCACAGTCTTTCTCTTTAGCTTATATGCCATTTGAGCACCCACTTTCTTGCATTAAGTGGCTGTATTTTGTGTTCATATTTCGTATTGACTATGGATATGTGTTGAAACATTTGTTGTTTTATTATTATTTTAAAAAATCATTTTTGGAGTCAAGACTCAGATTTCTTGTCATGGCTTATTCTTACCCCCCCCCCATTATTATTAATATTTTTCATGAACACATTGATTATTGCCAGAAAAGCACTTAAGATGGCATACGCTAAAACTACTTTCTAGGTTTTACAAAAACTGCACAAATTTATGAACCCCAAAATATTGTCTTTCTTACAGCCTTTTCTCTTTGACATTGGAACGAAATTGTATCACCTGATATAGCCGTTTGGCTCCAGAGAACTGAGATTGTTTAACTCTGAGACATTAGACTCATAATTGTAATGAAATAAATGCCGCTCTTGTTATTCAAATGATGGTGCATTATGCCTTACAAATTGTAATGTTAAGAGGATACACTCAATGACTGGTGCCACGTTGAATGTTAAAGAAAAAACAAACACGTGTAAACATTCTATGAGAGTGTATGATGTTTCTTGTGAAATGGAATAATGTCTTATTGCTCATGTATAATGCTATACGCAAGCTCCAATGTCCATTCAAAATGTAATGCTTTGCGATTTAAAAAAAACAACAAAAAACCAAAGAGAGAAAGAGAAACATTTCTGAGTCTGCGACGTTTACATAGCCCTGTTTGGCAGAATACTGTTATTGTTTAGACATAGTTTATTGGGTTCATCCTGGAGTGCAGTTTTACTTTGTTCAACGAATACTTACGTTTTCTATAAGTCTTTCATTGTAAAAAAATATTACCTGAAATAAATGTATCCTTGTATACTTACAATCTCTGTCTTACTTCTAAACTTTTTTGTACTCATCATATCAGGAAAACCTGCGGCACAGAGGTCTAGATATATTTTTTTGAGCCACAGTTTGTTCTGTCTCACATATTTCATAGTTCACCGAACTGCACCACAACGAATATCATTTTGGTGACAAAATCGCAATTTTTGCAAATGAAAAAAAAAAGGAAAAAGAATCTACGAATTCAAATAGTTAAAGAAATGTTAAAAGAGGCACAACTACACTGGAACCCACATTCATGCAGGGCTCTATACGATCCAAGTCGCGAATTAAAAACGTTCACGAAAAACACAATAGATTGCAAGAGAAAACGAAAAAAAAAAAAAATCAAGGTGTATACTAGTCATTACTCACAGAGAACTCGACACGATCTGGTAGCATTTTCATATAGAAAGCCTTGCTTACAAACAGGATGAATTTCGTTGGTTCATCTGCAAAAAACTGGATACTTATTCCCCCTGAAGCACTGGTGCCTGTGGTGTAGTGTGTAGTGGTCGCACGCAAAAGACCCGAGCTCGATTCCCGAGTGGGTAGAATTTTTATCGAGTATCACAGTCTTTCTGCTGGGACGTTGCATCTCATCTCAGTCCAGTTAGCCCTGACACACAGGGTCGTAGGCTGCCTCCTAAAAGATCTAAACTGAGTCGATGGGGGCGATATCAACACATGCATTAAAAAAAAAGATGTTTTCCCATGAAGCAACAATACCTTCACCCTCGTATGGGCAATAATGATCAGGCTCTTTCTCTTCCAGGCTGTGGAGACCTCTGGGATTCCCATGGGTTGAAACTATTCTGACTAATCCCCCCCCCCTCTCTCGGAATTAACTGACCTAGTATGCACATCGTATGTCACCTCCTTTCCTGCTCTCTATCCATGTTTTGTCGTCTGCTTTTGTCTTGACTTTCTGTCCTCACCTCCTCTCCTACGCCCCATCCTCAGAGCACCTGACTCTTTCAGCAGGCTTTCTACTGCTACTCCTTGGCTCTTTCTTACTGCTGTCTTTCAGCCACACCCTAATTATAGAGTAGGTAAGATCTAACACCTGGCCTTCTCGAATAAAGTAAAAAATCCCAGGAGGTTGAGTGTGCAAGTTTCGCACGTAAGAGATCTCTTGGTGGTCATAAAATTGATAATAGTAACCTTCGGCGGTCACCCAGGCAAAAATCAAAATTAGTTCCTACCAAACTGTGTGTCCCGTGCGCTCACATGACCTTATGCAGTTGCCAGCGCCGTAAAACACTTAAAACAATATAATCTGTGGTCACCACTCTCGGGGGGGGGGGGTTCACATTGGGCCATCATGGCGTCATTCACTGAAGATACTTTAAAGAAATAACTTTCACAACTATTTCATCTAGCATATCTACCTTTTTTTCACGGTTTCTCAAAGAGATTGAGAATTTTATCAATTGTCGTACTGGTGCAAGTTGATTCGACGAAGGCGTGGGATTCATATAATCATGATTTGATGTCACAGACTTGCTTCAATTCCCCCCCCCCCCCCCATTTCTAAACATTTTAATGATGAAGCAGCAACTACAAGAACAACAACAACAACTGCAACAGCGACAACAACAACGACAACAAAAACGATAAAACACCACCACCACCACCATCGGATGACCTTTAACGCCCAAGGAAGAAGACATTACTAGATCTTGCTAGCTGCTTCAGGTAACTAGCTTGGAAAACAGACTACAATAATGAAAATAATACCAAACGATTATTTGTAATGATCACAAATGCCACAACCTAGACTTTGTTAGCTAATGGAGGTAACTAGCATTGTAAACAGAATACAGTAATGAAAATAACACCAAACGATTATTTGCGATGATCACAAATACCACAACTCGCCGCAGATCCCACTGCTTTTCCCTTCCGTAAAATGGTTTGTGTGTCTGGGGAAACACAAGGCAGATAACACCTTCTTGTAGTGACGTTAGGTAGGAATAGATTTCAGCTTTATTTACAATTCATAGAAAGGAATGTACAAGAATGAGCATTGTAAAAGATGTAAAGTTAATTATCTTACAAAGTTTTCACAACCACAATGCAGTTTTGTCAGGGACAACGTTCAATAGGAAAGTTGCTGCGATCAGATGTGGTGCCATTAAAAAAAAAGCTGCATCAATTGCACCCACTGTATTTATGCTCAGATACACTGTTACGTGTTAACGGTTTCACCTCCTACTAACTTGCAAACCTATCTATTCAACTGTCCACATTTCTTCCTGAATACACAGTATTAAATACATAGCTTTACTAGCGTAACAACCTGACTACTAACTTTTCCACTAAAAACCTACCGGTATTCTGACGTACTTACAAAATAGAGGTGAGTAGAATTTTAGGTTTGGGATGAAAAAAGGCAAATATTTAAGTGTAAAGTTTTATTTAACTAGCATATTTGACCGTAAATTATTTTTACTTGTATTAAGCCCCCCATCAACACAACTTAAGTAATTTGATATAAAGCAGTCTCCCACGAAAAGGACCATCCTGGGCTGAGAAGAATACAACTTCACAACAGAAAAACAGAGATACTCAATAAAAATACTCTCGGGTTTCTTATGGGCGACGACTAAGAACTTAGCGCGACCCCACACGTATCTGTTTGCCGCTTTTAAGAAAATGTGTAGTGTTATGTACTGTAGTTCATACAAATTTAATTGGTTCCACTTTGAACATCATGGTTAGGGAAATCCAAGTACAGAATGATGAGAATGGCGCCGGTATCTGGTGTTAGGTTTAAAATTGGAAGTCAGTTTAGAAAACAAAAGTCAACAGAGCTGCTAGCATGCCGTCCATATATAAAAGCTCTCACCTGTTTTGTTTATGCTCTGAATAGGATGGGTCGTCCAGTTCCCCCCCCCCCCTCCAACCACCTCCCAAACCACACCCCAACGCAACCGCTAAAGCTAGAGGACATTTCAAGTTGCTGCACACGGACAGAGGCTTTGAAGTAGTCGACTGCTGCAAATCAAATACAGCTAGACGGGGTATGCTATATGTCATATCGATGTTCAATAACTAGAGCTCTGTCACATCACCTTAAGTTCAATTTTCTTTTCCGGTTAACGCCAAACGAAAGCTGCCAAAAAGAATAAATCCCCCCCCCCCCC